AACTTTAACCAAACATAGGGAAACCTAATTTTATCCAACCTTATGAAACCTTTTATAATAACAAGAAAATACAAGTAGTGTAGAGCCATAAGGTAACTCAAAGAAAAATTATAATTATCTAACCAATCATCATAGATATTACCCTGCCTATGAATATGAGATGTACTGAAGTTTAAAAGTACCAGAGCTATTTAATTTCTCTAATGAAATAGAACTATTCATGGCTAAAATATTAACACTAAAATCCTTTAGGCAATGAGAATAATAAATCACATCAACTTTAATACAAATGCTAGTAATTTTAAGAGAAAGATAGATGCTCAGCCCATATAAAATAGATGATAATTCATCATAAATAATAGAGCAACTATGTAAAGAGGCAGCATAAGCCATAATGTTATTACCAAAATAGTCCCTAATAATACCACCATAGCCACAACCAGATCTATTAATTGAGCCATCAATATTAAGTTTATAAGTGTGCATAATAGGCTTGATCCAAACAACCAACCTAGGCTCATCTAGAAAATGGTTAGCACTCAAAGAGATGTCAATATTAGAAGCCATAAAAGATACACCTTAAAAAATTTTAGCCCTAAAAAAACTGGCATTAAATAACTTCCAAACTTCATCTTTGAATTGACTAATAATATGCCAATGATTCATAGTGGTACTGATAATGAAAGAGGCCTTTCTAGCAAGCCATAAGAACGCACATGGATCACATTTTCGAAATGAACTTTATAGTTAATAAACAACTCGATAAGAATGTTAGAAATTGTATTATACCATTAAAGTTAATAGATCTAAAAAAAATCATCAAAATAAATCTAGACTTTAGCAGCAATAAGCTTAGAAATAAACACATTGTGCTTTGTCTCCACATGGGAGCAATATTGACATCTAGAGGGTAAAACAAAACCTATACCCTTTAAGTTCTCACCTATAGGAATAAACTCAAGCATGATTCTACAAATAAAGATATCCATAGAGGTAGCATTGGCCCACTTTTTTTTATTTAAAAAAAAATATGCTTTCTTTCTTATATTTTAAAAACAAAAGTAAACATAAATTATTAACAACACGAATAACTTGATTAAGAAAATTTTATGGTGGATTCAACAATCTTATAAAAGATTCCTATGCGATAGAAAAAAAAATATAGGAAGATAAAAAAATCAGTTTAAAAATCCAATTTAAAATATGATGAAGATTTTGAATCAAAAGTAAAATAACCTATTTAAGAAGAGAGAAAGAGAAACAAAATCATGAGTTCCCTTCCTCTGACTGTTTTAGAGAAGTCAAACACAACTTACTAAAGATTTCAAGCAAAAATAGGAAGTAGATTTTTTATTTTTAGAAAATTGAATGTGTGTGTTGATCAGAGAAAAAACTTTCATGAAAATAAAAATTTCAAAGAATAAACAAAACAAAAACACAAAATAAAAATGAAAAACATGAAAACAAAAACACAACACAAAAAGACGAAAGTCTTTTAACCATTTTCTCTCTCCTGGTCCGATGCTTCAGAAACCATATCTGCCCATGAGATTTTTTGCCTTTTATTATTTTCCCAGTTTGAATTTTGCTTTGCCTTGCCCTTTTCTTTCGTAGGAAGAATTCTTAAATTAGGGCACTAATTTTTCATATGTCCAGGCTTCCTGCATCGAAAGCAAATAATGTCAGAAGAAATATGGACATCCTTTCCACTTTACCTTTTCTCCACTTTTGCTTAAGCTTAGGTGAGCTTTGTGATTTGCTTGACACGTCATTGCCTTCGTCACCAACTATGCTATCTCTTTCTATATCTCTAGCTTTTAGAATAATAGTTTCACCTGCAACCAAAAGTCTTAGACCCAAACATTGCTCATAGGCAATGAGTGAGCCAATCAAATTATCAATAGAATACTCATTCAAATTTTTTGATTCACAAATAGCAACTACTTTAGCATAAAACTTATCCAGTAGACAATGAAGAATTTAGTTAACTTTTTCAAAATTTGAAAAAACTTTTTCTAAAGCATGCAATGAGTTTACAATTTGAATGAATTTGGTATACATGCCTAAGACTGTTTCATAAGGTTTCATTCAAAATAATTCAAAATCATGCATTAACAAATTCAACTTGGATTGCTTGATTTCATTCGTGCCTTCGTATATGGTATGCAGATTATCCCAAACTTCCTTACCAGTAGTTCACGTGGATACTAACATAAAATCTTCAGAATTTAAAGCTCAGAAAAAGCAATTTAAAGATTTTTCATTCAGTTGAGCATTCAATTGTTCTTCCTTATTCCATTGATTAAAAGGAATATTAATTTTAATTCCATTAACAATACGTGACGGTGATGAATAACCAGTTAAAATCATATGCCTCATGCGAAAATAAATCGATTCCAAGAAAATAGACATGCGAGTTTTCCAAAAATTAAATGACATATTTTCAAATAAAAGAGGTCTGGAGATTGAATAACCTTCCACAACATTACGATTAGCCATGGATCGAAAAATTCAAAAGCTTTTAAAAACTTATTTTATGAATCTTACTCTGATACCACTTAGAGGTGCTTAGATGACACTTGAAAGTGCTCTAAGACCACTTGAAAGTTCGTTAGGGATGTTAAGCCCTTATGAACTGGCCCAAGGCTACAAAGAGAGAGGTGAATTGGATAACTTTAAAACCAAAGCTAAAACTCAAACCTAAATCACCACAGAAATCAAAGTGAGGAAATTAAATAATGCGGAAGCAATAATAAGAAAAGAACACACTGGATTTATATTGGTTCAGTCAAACCTTGACCTACGTCTACCCCTTGGAGGCACCCTCCAAGTATTGCACTAAAATAAGTGTCTCTCCTTTAGTCCCCACATCTAGGTGGAGAAGCCCCTTACAAAATCACTTCCACCTTCCCAGGTACGGCGGAGTCGCCGGGTCCTTTGACACCAAAGAGATCTTCTTCTTTGGTGAACTTACCTCAGGACAAGCCTTGAATCCAATGGTACTAAGGTGCGAGTTTGCCGGAGCAACCGTGTGGATCCCCCACCACACTCCTTTGAGTTCCTCCCCCTCACAAGATCTTCTCCCTCTCAAACTCCACCCTTTCCTCTCTCCCTTTCAAGTTCTCTCTTCAAGTTTCCCCCACAAGAATGAAGCTACAATGGCTGTCAAAGAAACATACAAAGTGCCTTGCCATAGCTTAAATAGAAGCTCTCAAAACGAGCTCATTAATGCAAGTTGCCGCCATTATCGTCCAGGATGATAGACATATCGTCCTGGCCGATTAGTTCAAATATGAGGAAAATCGTCCTGAATATCGCCCTGAAATGAAGCTGGACGATGTCTAATCGTTTCGGACGATCTTGCGATCGGCCCGGATGAAATCCCCATTAATTGCTTTCCAAAACTGCCTGAGAAATTTTGGAAAAATTGTCCTGGATCATCCTGGACGATATTTTATTATCCAGGCCGATCCACTAGGCCGATATCCAAAAATAAGAATTTCTTAAGTAGATATGGCGGCAAATTCTTGCTGAATTGAGCCGATCATCCTGGTCGATACAAAATCATCCAGGATGATGCGTTTTACATAAAGACGGCTGCTTTAATGAGGATGCCCTAATTAGGGTTTCTACGTTTGTCAGATCGTCCCGGACGATGTTACAAAAAATAAAAATCTTTTAGGGCACAACAGAAAATCTTCCAAGTTATAAATCATCAGATGCCACACCAAATATAACAGACTCAAGAAAGGAAAAAGATTATAAACTGACACAGACCTAGTCTACCCAATCTTAAGCTGATTCCAGATTGCAGTCTGATCGTGTGGACCTGAAACGTTAGCACATAAGGCAATCATAGAGAAATAAGGAATGTTTGCTATCATCAAAATTATAAACTATAGATCCGCAATAAAAATGACATGCTTGAAGGATCGAGAATGACCATCTAGGATGGAAGCAATTGGAGGGAAAGATGAAGATAAAGTCCTCCTCTCCCAAAGCAACAAACCAAAAGAAAGCCTCAAAATACAACCACATAAGGTTTAAGAAAAAGCCAACAAAAATAATGATGAGACAAAAATCCAAACCAGATCTCCCGATGAAAGAGTGGCGGATTTCGAACGCAAGACCTAGATCATCAAATAATAACCCAGGGAGATAGAGCGTAACAGTCAACTATTTGTTATACTTTTCATGAATGACAAAATTATGAAACATCTATTTGGCAAAGATGGATGATTGTTACTCTTCAATTGGGTCTCATGATATCTGCTTCTTTCTCCTTAGGATTAACTTCAAGGTTACTAGTTAAGGATTCCATGAGCCAACTACTTACAGAAATTGCAAGCAGACATAATTAAGTTTCCATGTTTTTAATTGAAGTAGCTTGGCTTTGTAACTGATTTTCTAATTGTACAATCATATATCCTAGTGGTATCTTTCTAGTTTTATACTAATTGTCTTGATTAAGTCTAGTAGGATAAGCTGGTCTTGAATTATTATTAACTTAATTTTGATTATTCTAATTTGCTCATTGGTTATTTTAACTAGAATTCCATTGATTTTCACTTTTTTTATTTGATCAACTAAAATTAGAGTGTTTCTTCCAACCTGCATTATATGTATTTGAAAAGTGATTATTTTGTCTTCCAATCAAATTTATATTTTCAATCCATTATAGATCATTCTCTTTCATTATGTTTTTATCTTGTAAATGTAAAGATGAATCATAATTTAAGCTTAAAGTGCTGAACTTCTTTTATATTGCATAACATGTGCAGTCATAATAGATAAAGAATGATTTTCATAGACTCCTGCCACTCTCTTAGGATTCACCCTATAGCAGGTCACCAAAATTTATTTGTTGTCAATTTTGAATTACTTCATAATCATCCTCAAAAGTCTTTGAAATCAAAGAATCTCCAACTGTAGCATCAATTATAGATCTAAGAGATCCTACCAATCCATTGTAAAAAGTTTGAATGATTAACCAATTAGGTAAAGCACGATGAGGGAACTTTCTAAGAATCTCCTTGAATCTCTCGTAACTCTCAAAAATAGATTATCCTTCTAACTGAGTAATAGAAGTAATTTTATTTTTAAGTTTGGTTGTCTTAGAATATGGGAAATAATTTTCTTTAAACTTCTGAGAAAACTCATTCCATGTGACAATAGAGCTTGGTGGTAAAAAAATTAACCACATTTTTTCCTTGTCTCTTCGAGAAAATGGGAATAATATAAATCTAATGGCATCATCATTAACACAATGACTTAAATAATGCTCAAATTTTGAACTAAATGTATTTTAGGATCTTCAATGGGAGTTCTTCTAAACTGAGAATTTTGTACCACTGAAAGATTGCAGGTGTTAATTCAAAATTATTAGCTTGGATAATAGGTCTATTTATGCTATGTTGAAGTCTTTCCATGTCTCTCATTCTCTATATTACTTCCTCTCTCTCTCATTCTCTCTCTCTCTCTCTCTCTCTCTCTCTCTCTCTCTCTCTCTCTCTCACTCACTCTCTCTATCCCTCACTCCACTAACTCACTAGTCATCCCCCTCTCTCCCTTTTTATCTATCCCTCCCTCGCTCTATATCTCTCTCATTTTCTCCCTCTCACTCATTACTACTCTCGCTCTATCTCTCCAATCTCTATCTTCATCTACATCTATCTCCTTCTCTTGCTCACTCTATCACCCTCTCTCACTTCTCTTTCTTTCTTTTTCTCACCTCTTAACTCTATTTTTTCCATTATCTCTATATTCCATGCAGTCTCTCACATTCTCTCTCAATCACACTAGCTTTTTCTTAAAATATATCTCCCTCTTTCTCACTCTCCATATCTCTATCTCTCACTCAATGTCCTTATACATATCTCTCTCTTAGTCTCTCTCTCACTCTCCCATTCCTCACTCTCTTTTGGTATTACATCTCTCCCTCCCTTTTTTGTATACCTATCTCTCACTCCCTCTCTTTCTATGTCTAACTTTATGTCTCTCTTTCTCTATATCACTTGCTCTTTCTCATTCTCCCTCTCACAGTATCTCTCTCTCTCTCACTCCCCACCACTCTCTCTCTCTCTCACTCCCCACCACTCTCTCTCTCTCTCTCGCACAAACACACAGACATTCGCACACACTCTCTCTCTCACTCACTCCACTCACTCTCTGTTCATCCACCTCTCACTCCCTTTCTATCTCTCCCTCCTCTTGCGTTTCTCCCTCTCACGCACAGACACTCTTCCTCTATCTCTCCTCTCTTTATCTTCATTTACTTCTCTCTCTCTCTCTCTCTCTTTTTTACTCACTTCATTACCCTCTCTCACTTCTCTTGCTCTCTTTTTCTCAACCCTACACTCTTATCTTTACCTCGATCTCTATATTCCATACACTCTCTCACTTTCTCTCTCTTTTATTTTGAAACAGTGCAAAAGCATTGAATTAAAAGGAAAGGAAACAAGCCTTGATACAAACTAAATTGGTAACATCTCAGCCTTGATTAAATCAATCAAGGAGATATGAATGCTACTATATGAAAAGCTATCAAAAATAATACTGCCATCTAAAGCTAAAGTAGCACAAAAATCAGCTACTTTATTACATTCTCTATTAACATGATAAAAAATGACCTTATTAAAGTCACTCAAGAAGAGAAGCTCATTGGCCGGCCAATTATCCAAATGCCAATCAACCTTCTTCAAAGAATCTTGTAAGAATGTAATCACATTGACATTATCACTTTCAAGGATAATGCCCTTACTTTCAAGCATCCAACTTTGTAGTGGTTCGTTCAAACCATGACCTACATCCACTCCTTGGAGGCACCCTCCAAGTATTGCACTAAACTAAGTGTCTCTCCTTCAGCCCCCACAGCTAGGCGGAGAAGCCCTTACAAAATCACTTCCACCTTCCCCTGTGCGGCAGAGTCGCTGGGTCCTTTGACACCAAAGAGATCTTCTTCTTTGATGAACTTCTCTCGAGACAAGCCTTGAATCCAAAGGTATTCAGGTGCGAGCTTGCCAGAGCAACCGTGTGGAACCCCCTCCACACTCCCTTTTCCCCCTCACAGGATCTTCTCCCTCTCTCAAACTCCAACCTTTCCTCACTCCCTTTGAACCTCTCTCTTCAAGTTTCCCCCAATAGAATGAAGCTACAAAAGCTACCAAAGACACTTACCAATTGTCATGTCATAGCTTAAATAGAAGATCTCAAAACAAGCTCATTAATGCAAGTTGCTTACTTTATCGTCCAGGACGATACTAATATCGTCTTGTACGATAAGTGCAAAATAAGCCCAATCAGCCAGAACGATTTGAGACAATCAGAAGAAATTTGTTCATATCATCTAGGATGATAATATATCATCCTGTACGATCAAAATAAATCATGGAATATCATCCAGAACATCGCCCTGAAAAAGAGCTGTCCGATGTCCAATTATCTAGCATATCGGCCAGGATGATCTAGCGATCTTCAAGGATGATTTAATCGTGCAATCAAGTCGTAATAGCTTTTCTTGAATTCCAGAGAAATTTTGGAAAAAATTGTTCTGGATCGTCCTGGATGATATTTTATAGTCCTGGACGATTCACCTGGACAATGCCCAAAAATAAATAATTCCTAAATAGATCTAGCAATAGATTCTTTCTATTTTAAGCCTATCATCCTGGCTGATACAAAATCATCCAGGACGATGTGTTTTGCCTAATGACGGCTTCTTTAATTAGGATTCCCTAATTAGGGTTTCTGCTTTTGAACAGATCGCCCAAGCCGATATAAATATCATCCCAGACGATGTTACCAAAAATAATAAACTCTAGGGAACAATTAGAAAATCTTCCAAGTTACAAAGCATTAGGAGCCACACCAAATACAACAGACTTAAGAAAGAAAAAAA